AGTTCTATGAATGCAGAGGTGGAGGCTCAGAGAGGCCAAGTCACTTGCCCAAGGCCACACAGCAAAGAAGTGGCCGAGCAGAATTTGATCTCAGATCTTTGTGACTCAAAGCTGTACTCCTTCCCAAAACCCCCTGCCTCAGTCCCTCCTGTGTCTTTTTTGTTTCTTCAGGACAATGAAGTATTCAAATGATATGTATTTTACAGGGGAGAGGAAAGGAAATTGCTGGAAGTCACATAGTGAGCCTGCAGTCTGCCCAGGACTGGACCCTTGGAGGCAGACTCTTACGCCAGCACTTCCACCCACGGCTCTGCAGCACCTGATGGTGGGGTTGCTCCCTTTCTGGACCCCTGCCCTGCCCTGCCCTGCCCTCACCTCCCTTGGGGCACAGGAAATGATGGACACGATCCATTCCAAACCACAGGGGAAATTTTATGTCTGGGCTGGACTAGAATCCGGCCAGAGCCCCAGCTCAGACGTTCCCAGTCATATGCAAAGGGCGGGGGGTATGTAAGCGGGTGGAGGGGGCATTACACTTCCACTCCTGTCTGACCTTGGGCTTTCCCTCGCCTGGTGGCTCTGAATCAGGCAGGCTTCCTGGCTGCAGACAGAGGCCCCGACCTCACCTGCACGGACCATCTGGAGGTCATGCCCAAGCCAGGCCTCGGTCAGCTCAGCTCCAGCCTCAGATCAGAGGCAGCGCTGGGCAGAGCAGACGGATCTCCCCTGCTGACTCAGCCCAAACTTTCTGTGTGATCCTGGCTGGGTCCCTTGTCCCCACTGACCCCAAATCCACTGTCTCAAATCCTCCCTGAACTACCGTTCAGGAATTCACAGGGAACTTTCTTCTGCCTCTAAAAGACCCAGCCTCCCGAACCCAACATGGAGAGAAGAGCTGAGGTTAACTGTGGCTTCTCCACCGAGCAGGTGCTTCTGGCTTCTCTTCTGCTCACCCTCTGGGCTGGTGTGAGGCAGTGAGCCCTCCAAGGAGAAATCTTGGCTCTACAAACTGCAAAGGGCTGGGAAAGAACTGCAGACAGCTCCTCCTTAGGTGGGTCCAGGGGGCAGCTCTTGGCCCTGCTGTGGCCTAATGGAGCCCTGGCACTAGGCTCTGGCTCGGCCTCTTCAGGCCTTTCCTAGGGGCCGCTTGGGTCCAGTGGGCAGTGCCCGGGGCCCCTGGCATTGGCAGGACTGAACCTTAAGGCAAGGGTGTGGTTGAAGCTTGATCCAGACCTGAGCAGCCCCAGACAGACCAGAGAGGACATCTGGGGTCCTCAATAAATCCTTTTTTTCCCCCCTGGTGGTAGTGAGGGAACCACGAGTTCAGACACCTGGATTCAGGACTCTGCTCTTGACTGGCGTCCTTGAGGGGGAGGGGAGGGGTGGGCACCTGCGATGAGTCCCTTGCCCTTGATGGGCCGCAGCCTTTTTCTCTGTGCCATGGGGAGACCCCCATGATTCTGAAGCCAGGGCGGGGAGTTGGGAGTGGATGCAGCGGGGGCCTGAGTGTGAGTCAGTTTGTGACTTTCCAAGTGAGGTGGGCCGCTGTGGCCTCAGGGAAGACAGCTTTCTCTGTGTTTCAGCAGCCGGGCGGGATGCCGCAGATGGTGGACAGAGTCTTCTGTCCGTCTCCGCTGAGCCTGAACGGCCAGCGCGCACCTTCCTGGTCAAGCTCGGTCTCCGTTTGGGGTAACAGAGCTGCGAAGCCCTCGGTGAGGGGAAGCCTGTCCTCACCACGTGCCATCCCCGTCTCCCCCGTCCCCGCCGTGAGACCCACGCGCTAGGAGAGCCCCGGGGGGTGGTGGAGGCCAAGTGGCTTCACAGGTGCAGGAAACCGAGGCCGGAGCGAGCGAGGCCAGTGTTCCCTAGCCCTCAGGCCCTGTTTCATCCCCCACCTCCCCATCTTTCCTCTCTCTCCTTCCAGGAGCAGCGGAGAGATGGCGTGGATCTCACCCAAGTGAAGAGGCCTGGGTCTGGGGCTTTGAGTCCTGGTGCCTTAGCTTTTCAAGTTTCCAGGCTGCCCTGCCCTCCCCCCCAACCCATGTTCTCATCTGTGCTCCGGGCAGGATGAGGGTGAGCGGGGAGAAGGCAGACCCCAATGTCCAGGACGGCCTCGCTCTCCTCCCTGCTCCCGCCCCGGCCTGTCCAGGGGCCCTGGCCTCTCTCCCGCCGTCCTCCCAGGCCCTGCCTGCGGCGTCCCTCCTGGGAGTGCTCCTGGAGCCTCCACGGGCCTCTCACGAGGCCAGCGAGACAGTCAGGAGAACCCGGGAAGGAGATGGTGGAGATGCTGGGCAGTGGGCCCCCAGGGCCCAGGCCCCCGCGGGGGTATCCACAGCCTTTGATGCCAAAGGGAATGCCTGCACCTGGGGTCAGCCCTGCGGCTCTTGCTGGTCCTCCACACTGTCCCTACCTGGTGGGCGGTGGTCATGGCTTCTTCCACGGTCGTCTTCCATTTCTCCCCTGCGCCCTGCTGGTGTGGCTGCACCCGATGATCACAGCCTTGCCCCTGCTGGCGTGACTGCTGTGACGATACCCCTTTCCTCACGCAGAGAGAGGGCCCCTTTGCTGGAACAGCCACTCCTGTGGTCAGATAAGCTGCCCCCCCGCCCCGGCATGGCTGCTGGGTCTGGGTCTGAGGCCCCAGATTTCTGTGTTCGTGGCAGTACCCAGGGCACCTGCCAGACATCACCAGACAGGAACTGCTGCCCCTTCCTCCAGGGCAGTCCAGCCTCGCCTTCAGATCCATCTCTCAGGGGCCCCCAGCCCCCTCCATTTTCCGGGGATCTAAGAACCGTGTGCTCCCCTCTGCCCTGGAACTTCTCTCTGTCCCCAGGCCCACTTGTGTTGAGCACCATCAGCTCAGGCAACCTCTGGGCCCCCAAGGATAGAGCTGAGAGCTCCTCTCTCATGGGACCTCAGCTGCTGCCAGAGTGGGCATACAGGACACCTTCCTTCCCCCGTACTCCCCATGAAGCTCCAGGGTCGTAAGCAAATAGGCAGGGGTTCCAGAGCTGGCCACCTGCTGTCCGTGGAAAGTGATCCTCTGCCTGACCCCTCGAGGACCCTCCTGTCACCCCTAAACCCTCCCTGAGCAGCAGGTCCCAGGGCCTGCCTTTCCCAGAGGTCACACAGGCGAGAGGGGAAGTTCCTGGAAAACTCCCCGAGTGGCCGCTGCTCCGCACTGCTCCCAGCCTCTGGCTGCCTTGGTGCCACTTATTCAGTCCACAGCCTTGGAAGCGTACCCTGTGCTAGGCACCGTGCCTGCCTGCGGTTGCAGCCGTGAGGGGCCAGACTCGTCCCTGCCCTGGGGACAGTCACGGTCTGGACAGGGACCCAGGCAGAAACTTGTGCAAACCATGATTTAAGCAATTATGATGAACATGCACAGTGCGAGGGCATTGTGAGGCCATGTAACAGAGCCAATCCTGGAAGGCTTCAGGAGGACGTGACCGTCAAGCTCAGGTCTCACGTTTGAGGAGGATATGGTCAGGCAAGTGAGGGAAAAGTGCTCAGGCAGAGGAAAGCAGTATATGCAAAAGTTCTGGGCAGAAGGGGCATGCTCTTCATAGCTCCTGGAGTCCAAGTCCTTTTTTTTTTTTAGTATTTATTGATTTATTTGGCTGTGTTGGGTCTTAGTTATGGCTCACGGGCTCCAGAGCGTACGGGTTGTTCAGTCATTGCTCTGCAGTGTGTGAGATCTTAGTTCCCTGACCAGGGATCGAACCCACATCCCCTGCAATGAAAGGCAGATTCTTAACCAGTGGACCATGGGGGAACTCCCTGGAATCCAACTCTTCAGCAGCCACCAGGTGCCAAGCTCCTGAGACAGGCTGGCAGAGCATTAACCGCGTGGGTTCTGGGGCCACCTCATGTAGGTTTGAATCTCACTTTGCACTTACTAGATGTGAGACAACGCGGAAGTAACTTGACTCCCTGTGCCTCAGTTTCCTCCTCTGTAAAATGAGATAATACTCTTGACAGTAAAGGACTTCCTGGAGTTGTTGGGAAAATTAAATGCACTCACTCAGGTAACCGAAGCACCCAATAAACATTAGCAACTCTCCTCAACCATAAACCCCGTCCATGGAGCGCCTACTGTGTGTCAGACACCGCGCTACACGTTCTGCAGTTAATCTTCCCGCAGGTTGCAAGCTTGGACTCACTGCCCCGTTTCAGAGATGAGAAGTCTGAGGGCAGAGGACCGAGTCACTAACGGGGAGGCTGGCTGAGGTTTCAGAGGGCGCGGGGGCAGCTTCTTGGAGGAGGTGGTGGCTGTGATGAGTCGAGGATGGGCACCCTCCCAGCCAGGCAGCCCCCCAAGCGCAGCTGAGCATTTCAGCCCTTGGGCTTCCTGAGTCTGGTGACAACGGGACAGAGGGGCAGCTCAGGGCACCTCCAGGACCTTCCAGGAGTCCCAGCGAGGGAAGGCCCCATCGGGCCAGATTCTCAGACCAGAGAGCCTCGAGCGAGCGCCAAACAACAAAAAGGCTTTTCTCACTCAGGATGAGTCACCAGACCGAGAGAGCAGACGCCCGGTCCCTGTGCTGAAGAAGACGAAACCACACATCTGAAGAAGTTTCCCACGGCCACCACTTGCTTTAAATAGCTGCAGAGGAGTGGGGGAAGGGAGGTCGGGAGGCAGGGTTCTCCTGCCCTCGGGCCCTGGGCTGGGGTCTCCACCCCTCCACCCCGCGGGACCCTGGCCTGAAGCGCCCCCCTCCCACCCCGCACCCCGAGACTGGTGTTTGCTGGGAACGCAAGGCCTCACGGCACCAGGGGAGCCCAACAGGGGCCCACAGCTCGTGGTGGGACGGGGGTGTTGGTTGGGGGGGGGGGATAGTGGACAGACAGACAGCTGGAAAGATATCCCGCCAGGCAACGGGTGTGGGGGTACAGGCCCTGGAAGGGGGAAGTTGACCTCCCCCTGCACCCTGGTGCAGCCTCCCGGCCCCCAGTCAAGCTTCCTTGCAGGTCACCTGACTCCCCCCCTTGCACTCCAGCTGCCCCCCCCGCCCCGCCGCCCGCCCGGTTCGTGACTGAGCCCCGGGCGGCGTTTCCGGAGGCAGGCCAGGAGCCTGGGCTGCTGACGCACTTGCCGCCCCCCCCCCCCCCAGCCGGGCCGGGTGAGAAGAGCGAGCCCCCCATCCCCCTTTCCCGTAAGTGAACTCACCCCCCCAGGCCTTGCAGGAATTCTAAGAAGTGGAAACCTCTGCACCTGCTCCTCGCCCACCATCTTGGCCTCCCCACGGCGGTGGGGGGGGAGGAGGGGCGGGGGTCCTTCCTCCTCACCGGCTCAGTGCTCAGGCCCGGGCTGGGGGCTCAGGGGCTGACAAAGCTTTCTCCCCCGCTTAAGTTAGGAAGACCGCAGAGATCAGGTTAGCTCAGGGCACCCCTTTGGCTTGGGCTCATTTTTCAGAAGATAAAGGGGGAAAATCCAGAGAGGCCTGGGCAATCCGTCTGAGTCCCTCCCAGGCTGGGGGAACATCTCCTGGTGCTCAAATGGCCCTTATGGGCCAGCAGTGGCTCAGGAAGAGTCAGCCCTTAGAGACCAGCAGAACCAAGGCCCAGAGAGGGCGGTGACTCAGCCATGGTCACACAGCAGGCCAGTGGAGCCCTCAGCTACACCCCTCCAGGGGCCCACAACCCTGGGCAGCCCCCTGATAGCACCATCACACATTTATTGAGCATCCTTTGGAGGAACCCAGGATGAGATAAGATGACATCCAGCTAGAATCACAAACATAACAACTAGCAGTCAGAGGGGCCCAGGGCTAGGGGTTCTCAGTGCTGGCTTCTCAGCCCGAGCTCTAGACTTTGCAAAAATACTGATTCTAGTCTGAAACTACGATTCAGCGGATTGGGAACGCGCCCAGGAATCTGCATTTTATGATTCCTCTAATTGATCAGAAGGCGGAGAGGCTCTGGGACAGACTGTGAGTGACTCCAGGGCAGGTGTGCCCTGGAGGGTGATTTGCAAGGGCTTCTAATGGGAGGCTCAGGTGAGGCTACGCCCTTCCCCTCCTGCACCAACCTCGGCCTGCACACGGGGTCCAGCCCCAAGGGATCCCAGAAATGATGCATCACTGAGACAGGGGCTGAATGAAAGGATGTCCCCCACACCTTCCTCTTGCAGGAAAAAGTGGGGGCCAGTACCTGAGCCACAAATGTCTGCTCACTCTTGTCCTAACACTCAGGAAGCTTGGTTTTCTCTGACCTGGTGACATCTCTCTAGGGAATTTGGAAAGCAACCAGAAGCTGGGCTGCCTGGTGGTTAGGGGCTAGCCTGCCAACCCATCCACCCCTGTGCCTGCACTATGTCCAGCCAGGGTCAGGGAGGAGCCCTTGACCGACCAGGGGGTCTGAGGCCGCTGGAGCCCGCAGGTGAGCAGGAATTGTTTTGGTCTGGCACACAGTGTCCACTTTCCAAGGCCAGCAGTCCTCTCAGAGACTCTCTGTCCTCTTCTGTACCATGGGTGAAATCATTTCTTCCAGCAGGAGCAGACGGAGTGGGGAGAGAGTGGCTGGTTGAAAGCCCACAGTTTGGCTAATAGCGGTGGCTGGGGGGGCGCCCCTTGCAGGCCCAGATACCCCCAAGGTGGGGCGTGTCCCGAGCGCCTCTCTGGCCTGTATGGAGGTCACGGTGAGGAAGCAGAGGGCTCTTCAACCTCCCCAAGGCCTTCCTCGGGCAGGCCACACCCCTCCAGACCTCCATTTCCTTCGGGCAGATGCCCCAACTCCAGAAGGCCATTGTGAGGATTAAATGAGCACAATCACCTGACCGTGTGAAGGGCGATCCTTGCTTCTGTTGACTTGTTTCTCACTAGCCTGTGAGTTCCAGGAGTGGGGCTGGTCTCTGCGTCCAGGGCCCATCACACCTGCTGCATGGTGGGTGACCCGCTTGTGTTGGCGGAGGGAATAACGGGTTAGAGAGAGAGCCGCCTTCTCTCAGCACGAGTGTGTGTGTGCACATGTGTGTGTCTGCGTGTGTGGGCCTGCACGCTCACTCCTGTGTGTGGGTTTGAGCCATTGTGGAACTGTGGGTCTGTGCATGGGCCTGTCTGGGTCTAGGTTTTGCATACGGGTCTAGCGTGTGTATATTTGCATGTATGTCTTAGTCTGTGTGCCTGGATGCATGGGCCCATGTGTACAAGTGTGCTCAGCCCCCAGGTGTCCAGGCTGTATGCGGTTAGTTCTTTGTGTGGGGGGTGGGGTGGGTGGGTGCCCCTTACTCTCCTGACCTCGCCCTTCCCCTGAGACTCCAAGTAATGGGCCCACCTGGGAGAGCCAGACTATGCAAAACAGAGGCCAGGCCTGGGGAAGCCCCTGGAGAGTGGCCCCTGGGGACTGGCTAGGCCTCTGCCACCCCCCCAACCCCCTCACAGCCCCCCTCCCACGCTCCCCCCACCACCACCCGCGTACAACAAACAGCCTGCCCCTTCCAGAGTCCTGTGAGCCTCCCCTCCCGGGCCTTCACACTGCCAGGAGTCAGGTACCTAGATTCCCCTGCCTGCTCTCTGCCCCCTGCCTTGATGCCATGCCTGGCACCTCGCTCCTTCCTCTGTGAGACTCCCTTTCACTTCTGCACCTCCCTGAGCTGCTATTGCAAGCTATACCATGCACCAGGTATTTGGCAGTTTACCAACAGAGAGGTCTGGCGAGCGCCCTACTTTACTGATGAGGAAACGGAAGCTCAGAGAAGTCTAGGAACTTGTCCGGAGTTGCACAGCAAGCCACTGAGCATCAGACATGAACCAGACTCCATATCCAGACGTCTTGCCCACTAGGCCACACTGCTGTAACGCTTCAAGTCACCTATGAATGGCCAAGCCTTGTGGGGCTGACCTTGTGAACCTTCCCCCTTCCAAAAGGGGCCTCAGAGGCTGGGCACCATCTCATACGCCCACAGCTAAAGAGATGGAAGCCTCAGACTCAGGACAGGGCTCATCTTCTCAATGGCAGAACTGTGGTCCATCCTGGGCTCTGGGTCTGAGCCACCCTGGGCCTAGAAACTTCTGAGCTCACCCCAGTCAGGCCAACTCAAAGCCCCCCAAGTCTTCCCATTGCCTGGTGGTCCCCACGGAGAGATCAGAATCCCCCTCAACAGGGTGATTCTTGTTCCTCCAGATCACGCTTCCATTTGGCAAAGGGGTGTGTGTTGGGGGAGCCATGTGGCTTTGATTTAAATCTCACCCTGGAAAAACAATGGTTTGGATTAAGGGAAGAAACAGTTGGTGAAAAGTCATGAAAAGAAAGGAGGGCAGAAGTGGGGTCCTTGTAGCAAAAATGAGCCCCAAACTTTTAAACCCTCATTCCAGAGGTTTCTCAAAGCCTGCCATCCAGCCGTGACCTCCCACGCCAGCACACTCCTGCCCCTTCAGTAGCTGGGTGGGCAACGCTGTGTGTATGTGTACGTGTGGGGGATGTTCCCCTGGCCCCCCTCTCTCCTCTTACAGGGGAGGAAACTGAGGCTTGGAGAGGGTGACAATGGATTCTGGTGGCTTCCATGCAGAGAAGAATAAAGGTGGGGGAACATGGGACTCTGGTGCTCCCATTGTGTAGGCAAGGAGCTTGCCCTCTTTAGGCCCTCATCCCCCCGCCCCCCCCCCCCGGGCCCGAGAAAGGGAAGAAAAGAGCATTACAGTAACTTAATCACCACTGGAACTGAGTAAAGCCCAGGAAGCCCACACAAAGGCAGCCTGTTCGGCTCTGACCTGCTGACCCTTTCCACTTGCCAGACTCTGCACCAAAAGCTTCTCACACGTCTGCTGCACGAGTCTTCCCGGGACCCCAAAACCCCCATTTCACAGGTGAACACACTGAGGCTCTGAGAGGCTAAGAAATTTGCTGAGGTTCCCCCCCGGCATCCCCCAGCTAGGATGTGGTGATTGTGTCTTGAGGCCAGGTCTTTGCGGCCCTGAGGGCTGTTTCTAACCACTGGGCTGTGAGACTGAGGCCAGGAAGTTAAGAGTGGAAGCAAGTCAGACTAGGGAAGTGAGAGCTGGGAAAAGTCTGGAAACAGGCCCACAAGAGCATTTTGTGTCTCCTGAATCACCAACCTTTAGAGCTGGGAAGGCCTCAAAGATTATCTATGCCTCCCTGGGGAATAGTAGGGCAGAGCGGAAATTGAGGCCAAGGAAGGTGGGACACGTCCAGGGTCACACAGGGGTTGGGGCAGGGCCCAGGTACAACCACGTCTCCTGAGGGCCAGCCGGTGGCTTTGTGGTGTGTGTCCAAGCTGCCCTGGAGACGTGTGGATGGCCTTCACCTCTGGGGATGACACCCCTGGCCCAGCAGGCCAGTCTTAGGGAGAGCGTGGCCTGTACTCTTCCAAAACTCACATCTATGCCACTGACATGGCTGCTTGGGGTCAGGATGCTGTGGCTGTGGTTATGGGTCCATCTGAGACCAGGGTCAGAGCATGGTGTGTGGCCAGCCCTGGTGTGTCAGTAATCCAGGCTTGGTCTGTGGCTGGGGTCAAAGCTGAGGAGTCCTAGGCAATGAATACTGGAGTGGGTAGCTGTTCCCTTCTCCAGGGGATCTTCCCAACGCAGGGATTGAACCCAGGTCTTCCACATTGCAGGCAGATTCTTTACCAGCTGAGCCACCAGGGAAGCCCATGAATTGACTACAGACAACCAAACGGACTTCAAGCCCTAAAAACAGGGTTACTAATGGCACAGCTGCAGGAGCTGTGATGCACTGCGATAGAGGTAGGAGGCTGGGCTCTGGAGTCTCTGGGGGCAGGGGATGGGGGCTCTCCATCCCATGCAGTTCCCCTTCACACCCACCGCTGCCTGGCTCCAGGTGTGCGAAGATGCTGGGAGCACCAGGCAATCCCCCTCCACCCTTTTCCTCGGAGAAGATGCAGCAGGAAATCAGGCCATTTCCTCTCCTGACTTGCCTCCTATCGGACCGGAAGAACCACTGCCCCTCAGTTCTGGGGTTACCTGGGCTCAGAGTCCAGCCTTGGCCCCCATGATGGGGACAAGAACCATCTGGAGGCCGGGAGAAGGGCAGTTCTGCTGGACTAGGTGTAGAGATGCTGAGCAATGGATTGTCAAGGGTGTTGTTCTAATTCGGGATGCTCCTGAACTGTTCCTGTTACTGGGCACTCAAGCCATATGAGGGTGAGCCAAATACCCCCATTTTATGGATGGGTAAGTGGAGTGCTCAAGGTCATCAGCTGGCAGGGATGGAGCTGGGTTCACCAGGCCGGCCAGCTCTGAGCCCGGGCCATACCCACTCCGCACGTGGCCTCAGCAGCTCCTTGGCTCATCTGGGCCCTGGGGGGCCCCCCAGCTGAACAGGCAGGATGAGGCAACACCAGACCTGCCTTCTCAGGATCACAGGAGAAATGGCTTTCCCTGGAGGTGCGGAGCAAACTTCGGCTGATACGATTTGCTGATCTCTCCCCCTCGGGTTTTGGTGTCTGGTGTCCCCAATACCAAGGCAATGATAATAATAGTAATAATGACTGGCACTTCTTGAGGGCTTCATATGTATGGGATACTAGTCAAAGAAATTCCAAGCATTCACTTATTTTATCTTTCCGACAACCCCATGAGGTAGGAACTATTATTAATCCTATTTTTAAAGGTCAGCTTTGGTTTTTAGAAGTTTCAGATTTACAGAAAAATTGAGAGGCTAGTGCAGAGTTCCCATGTACCCTACACATACAGTCTGTTTCCCTGTGATTAACATCTGACATTCATCTGGTGCCTTTGTTACAACTAACAAATTGATATTATTAATTAATGCCCATACTTTATTCAGATTTCTGTCATTTTTGCCTGCTGTCCCTTTTCTTTTGCAGGATCCCCCCTAGGACACCACATTATATTTAGCTGTAATGTTTCCCGAGGCTTCTCTTGGTTCTGACAGATTTTCAGACTTTCCTCTTTTTTTTTTTTTTTAAATGTTCCTGACAGTTTCAAGAAGTTCTGGTCAGGTATTTTGTAGACTGTCCCTCTGTTGAAATTTGTCTAATGTTTTTCTCATGATTGGACTGGCATTATGGAATCTGGGAAGGAAGGCCAGGAGGGTAAAGTGCCATTTTCATCACATCATGTAAAGGGCTCATGGTATCCATATGGCTTACCACTGTGGATGTTGACCTTGATCACTAGCTGAGGTAGCATTTGTTGGGTTTCTCTACATAAGTAGAGAATAAGTAAAGAATAAGTAGAGAATAAGTAAACTTATTCTCCCCACTCTTAAACCTTTGCCTTTCCGTACTGCTCCCCTTGGAAGGAAGTCATTAACCTGTTTTGCAGGTGCAAAAACGGGCCTAGAGAGGGTAAGTAACTTGCCTCATGTCACACAGCAAAGGGCAGAGCCAGGATTTGAACCCTTGTAGTTTGGCTCCTGATCCCAATGCTTCCAATTGTACCGACCAGAGTTCCTGGCCTTCTCCAATCAAAAGAAATTGTCTAGAGGCCCGACAAGAAATTCAGGCAAGGCTTTATGGGTCCACGGCCCCAGGGGGGGATCGAGAACAAACAACAAGTTCCCTTGTCCGCTCACTTCCCAAGCTTGTTCCTTATACAGGGTAAGGGTCGAGGTGTGTCCAGGGGTCAAACTGGAGGGGTGGCTTAGGTGGTTTGCTCACCCAGTAGGTGGTGGGGTGTGCAGGGGCATGTTTTTTCTCCCAACACCCTGTTTTTGCTCCAGGCTCCTCAAAAAGTGTGGCAGTTGGGGGTTTTGGTCTCTTTGTATCTTTTGGATCTGAAATTGGCCCCCAAGGTACATGCACGCTGTTATTTTTAGTCCCATGCAGTTTCTTTGTATTTTATTGCCCCAGGAGAGATGCGACCAGGTACAGGCTGCAGGAAAGGGTTCCAGATCCCAGCCTGTCTCACAACCAGTTGCCACAAACTTCCAAGAGCCTAGTGAGCAGTGATCCCATGATTTTAGCAAAGCAGGACAGAGTGGGGCAAAGTGCGGAGACTTGGGACCACATGGCCTGAGTGTCAGGCTGTATCCTGCCCTTGGGACTCTGAGCAAGCCACCTCACATCACGGGGGCTGACATGTAGGGTCAGTCAACAAACAGGAGCCTTAGAGTCTAAGCACCAGGCTGCAGACCCAGGTGATGGCACACAGCAGGGGCAGGAGAAGCCAGCTTGAGCCTCCAAACAGCGTCCCATGAGAAGGTGCCCCCTCCAGTCCTGCATGGGGACAGTTGGCAGCGCTGGCCTTGACTTTGCCAAAAGGATCAGGATCAGATCCAGGTGTCACTCCCGACCTTTGTCTGCTCATGACGACCACACCCTCTGAAGACGGTGAGAAAACAATCTCTAAGAACTGAGTAGGAACCACCCTCTCCCCATTTTACAGAGCAGGAAATTGAGGCTTCAGGCTAGGAAGGGACTTGGCCAGCATCATCCAATGAGGTGCAAGCATGTGCCTGGCCTGAGAGGTGCTCGTGATAACAGGGGCTACCTTTGCCTGAGTAAAGCCCCTGCCAAGACCCCCTGGGGTCTCATCTAATTCTGTCAGGGCCATCCGACCACCAGCCTCATCTTGTTAGGGGTGCCACTGGTGGAGATCAGTTTAAGGCTACACTCACTTTTCTAGCAAATGAAAGAGATCACAGTCCAGGTTCAATGCATGAGACAGGGCGCTCAGGGATGGTGCACAGGGATGACCCTGAGGGATGGGATGGGGAGGGAGGTGGGAGGGGGATTCAGGATGGGGGACACACATACACCCATGGCGGATTCATGTCAATGTATGGCAAAAACCACTACAATATTGTAAAGTAATGAGCCTCCAATTAAAACAAGTTAATTAATTTAAAAAAAAGAATGAAAGAGGTAAGACTCGAGCCTGGCAGCCAGGCACCAAGTCACGTGTCCCCACGGTGCTGCCAGCCTCACTCCCAGTGGTCCAGGCCAGGGGACCCCCAGGGGGTGGCAGCCTCATGCCCTGCCCCCCTTGCCCCCACATCTTTGCAGAAGTCCGGCCCCTCTTGGTTCCACAAGGAACACTGTTCCCTTTACCCTCCAGCCCGTCTCACGAGAGGTAAGAGGAAGACAAAACCACAGACGCAGGCGAAGTGACCCCACACCTGCCACCATTTCCCCTGGTGGATTTTTCTTCTGCCTCTGAATTCAGAGGAACCTGCCAAACGGGAGAAGAAACTAGGCTGGGGGTGAAGCAGCTGTGGCCAGGGGTGGGTGGGGGAGATGGGGGTGGGCAGTACACGACCAACCAACTGCAATCAGTTCATTTAGCATCAGCCTTGAACAGTGGGCTTCCCTGATGGTTCAGTGGTAAAGAACCTGCTAATGCAAGAGACACGGGTTCGATCCCTGGTCCAGGAAGATCCCGCATGTCGTGGAGCAACTAAGCCCATGAGCCACAACTACTGAGCCTGCGCTCTAAAGTCTGGGAGCCGCAACTGCTGAGCCCACGGGCTGCAACGACTAAGTCTCGGGTGCCCAGAACCCACGCTCCGCAACAACGGAAGCCATAGCAATGAGAAGCCGGCGCGCCGCAACTAGAGGGTAGTCCCTGCTCGCCGCAGCTGGGGAAAAGCCCATGCAGCAACGAAGACCCAGCACAGCCAAAAATAAATAGGTGACATTTTTAAAAAATAACCTTCAGCAGAGTCAGAATCCTGCTGGGTTGAGGGATGCCAAGACCCAGTTCTGGTGCCACTGCTTTGCTGTGTGACCTTGGGCAAGCTTCTCTGTCTTCATTACCCCACCTCTAAAATGAGAAGCTTGAATTCATCAGTGAGGCTCAACTCTGGCTGAACTCATGGTCCTTTAAAACATACACTTAATTAAGGTTCTGGGGTGGACACCATTTAAACCCACCCCCAGGTGATTCAGCTGGGCCGGCAGAGTTGAGATCCCACCGCCGGGTTGTGTGTGGGGCCCTCGGGCTCTGACATTACCCACCCACTACCCCACAACCATCCCCAAAGTAGAACTCCCGTGGTCCCCTTTCCACAGAGAAGAAGCTGAGACACAAAGAGGTGGAGTAGGTTTCCCAGGTCACAGAGCTAAGAAGGAACAGAGTCAAGTTTCAAGTCCAGACTGCACACACGAACAGCTGTGCCTGAAGTCCTCAGGGTGAGGGGCCCGCATAAATTCAAGAGGGCTCTGGATTAAGCACCTGGACTTTCCCGCCGGCAGCCTGGACTCTAACCCCAGCTCTGTCACTTACTGGCTGTGTGACCTAGGGCGACTTACTCAACCCCTCTGTGCGCTTCCGTTTCCCCGTCCATGAAATGGAAATGGAAACCGAAAACGTGGGGCTTATGGGGGTTGCTGGTGACACTTCATTTGTACGGCGGCACGGTGCAGAGTCAGCCCCATGTAAGCTGTGATTGTTACGATTATCTTACCTGTGCTGATGGGATGCACCCAGCTGTGAGCAGTGGTTACTCTGGGAGTGGGCTGGCAGGATTTCCACCTCGTACTCACCACATTTCAGTAGCATTTTGCTTTTTTTTTTTCAATGAGCATTTAACCTCTATTGTGATATACACCCTTTTTTAAATAAAGAAAACCTTGGGCTGAGCTGAGGTGTGAGTAGGCGTCAAGAGGTCTCTTGTGGCAAGTTGCTCTCTTTAGAGAAATAGAAGAGGGGAGCATTTGATTGTACTTCATAGAACCTGAGTCACGGCTCGTGGGTGTGCAAGAGGCCAAGGCATTTCCATCAGCTCGAACAAGAAGCAGTTTCACCCCCACCGCATGCTCAGGGCTGCAGGAGGAACACTGGACCAAGAGCACCGAGATTTAGGATTAGCCTGACATTCTGCCATCACTTGTGATGAAGCCTTTATTTCTTTGCTCAGTATATTCTCCCCAGTGCCTCCTCAGCGCCAGGCCCAGGGCCCCTTGGGCTCCGAGGGTCCACTGCTTGCCAGTCCTGGCATGAGTCCTGGGGGACAAAATATAGGACAAGGCAGAGGCTGTCCTCAGACTTCTGTGACCAGCAGCCCATCAGGGGAGGCCAGCGCTATCAGATCACCCCACCAGCAAATGTTTAGTGGTCATCTAGTGTGTGCTGGGGGAGAGGTGGGGGAGAGGGGCTCTGAGAGCCTCGATGGGGGCTGGGAACGGTCAAGGTGGGGAGGAGACGAAGGATGCATTGCAGGGAGAGAGGACAGCATAAGCAGAGTCCAGGTAGCGCAAAGGAACACAGTGAGCCTCAGCGAGGGAAAATGCGCCTAGAGCGAAGAGGGCAAAGGGGAGCTTGGTATGAGATAAGACGGAATGGAGGCAGAGCCAGGCCCTACAGGAGGTCAGGGTGGGAATCTGGCCTTCATCCCCCAAAGCCACAGACCATGAACAGAACCCAGGGAAGAGTCATGAAGGTCTTACCTAGTGAGATTCCCCCAAAGCCTGGGGAGAAGAGATTAGGTAGAGGGTCAGAGTGGACCCCTTCCCCTAGCTGCATAGTTATGGGCACAGAGCAGCGTCAGTAAATGGCTCTTCCTCCATAAACTTCTTCGTCAACTCATAGAGGCAAAATTTAGATGTCTTTTTTTTATTTAATAACTTCTTTTTCTGAATACATAATATGTACTTTATAGTGCAGAATCATGGGGAATGACCAAATATAAAGGGCTGCCATGGGAATTAGGGGCTTAGCTTACTTCCTGAGTTTCTCATCATACGGAGAACCAGCCGTATAGGATGCAGCTATAAGTGTGTGTGCTCACTCAGTCGTGTCTGACTCTTTGCAACCTCATGGACCGTAGCCCGCCAGGCTCCTCTGTTCATGGAATTTTCCAGGCAAGAACGCTGGAGTGGGTTGCCATGTCCTCCTCCAGGGAATCTTCTCAACCCAGGGATTGAACCCACATCTCTTGCATCTTAGATTGGATTCTTTACCACTGAGCCACATAGGAAGCCCACAAGGATAAAGAAGAATTCCTCCACTTGTTCTAGGAGCTGTTAAGCTGCTAAGATTTCTGGGTTCCTGGATGAGTAGTGAGTTCCTCATTCCTGGTAGTATGTAAGCTGTCAGAGTATAAGTTTTAAAAAAGAAGTATGACTCTTAATCAGATACAGATTGAACATACATCAAAAGTTTGTTTAACTCATGAATGAGAAAACCAGTAAGATGGTCATGCTAATTCAAGGGAGAACAAGAGCAAGACAATTACAGGATACTGGAGAAAGAACATTGGAATAAAATAGCTCCAGTTAAATACAAAACTGGTTAATGTCTTAAAAGACCCAAAATCTGTAACCCTTGGGTGTTTTCTACTAGAGAGAAATCTGTCAGTTAACATATAACTTCTAAAGTCATGCCTTTTAATAACATGTGCCAATTGGTCAAAGTTAAATCCTCCAGATAATTAAATACCCTTGGTTGGGCCAGTTATGCAGCGCTCCAATATGTCATTGAAAAGACATGTTGCCCTCTGTTTGCCCGTTTCCAAGTTTCGCATAATTTTTCTTACAAAGCTGTGCAAATGACTCCAGTGAAAGGCTGCAGGGGAATTCTGGGGTCAGAGGGTTGGTTGGCATATTCTTTTTTGTGATATAAAATATTACCTGAAACTTTGTGGCTTAAAACAATCAACTTTTATTATGTTGCAATTTCTATGGGTCAGGAATGGGAGAGCAGATCAGTTGGCTCTGGTTGAGGGTCTCTCATGAGGTTGCAATCATATGTCCGATTGGGCTGCATTGACCTGAAGGCTTGACTGGAGCTGGAGGATCTGCTCCCAAGATGACTCAATCACATGACTGGCAAATTCGTGCAGGCTTTTGGCAGGGCTTCTCATGTGGGTCTCTCCATGGTTGCTTGAGTGTCCTCACAATATGGCGGCCAGCTTTGCTCGGTGATCCCAGAGAGTTAAAACAGAAGTTCAGTTCAGTTCAGTTTAGTTCACGACTCTTTGCAACCCCATGGATTGCAGCATGCCAGGCCTCCCTGTCCATCACCAACTCCCGGAGTTTACTCAAACTCACGTCCATCGAGTCAGTGATGCCATCCAACCATCTCATCTTCTGTCGTCCCCTTCTCCTCCCGCCTTCAATCTTTCCCAGCATCAGGGTCTTTTCCAGTGAGTCAGTTCTTCATATCAGGTGGCCAAAGTATTGGAGTTTCAGCTTCAGCATCAGTCCTTCCAATGAACATTCAGGACTGATTTCCTTTAGGATGGACTGGTTGGATCTCCTTGTAGTCCAAGGGACTCTCAAGAGTCCTTTCCAACACCACAGTTCAAAAGCATCAATTCTTTGGCAGCAATGTCTTTTATGACCGAGACTCAGAAGTCATACTCCATCATTTCTCCAATAGGCTATTGGCTACACAAGTCATCCCTGCCCAGTGTGGCTGGGGACTTCACAAGGGGGTGAATATCAGAAGGTGAGGATCACTGGGGCCATCTTGGAAACTGTATCCACAGCTGGATGCCTTTAGGGTTATTTCAACTGGAGGCTGAGGTTAGTGCAGGTAGCAAGCAGAAGTTACCTTCAGCTGTCCCACTGCCCTTGACACTTCCTATTTGGCTCCTTAAAGCTGCTACCCAGCAAAGGTCCTGGGGTAGGTGAGTCTGCACCAAAGTCTGTCATAGCAGCACCTGGCTGCATCTTCAGAACAAAAGCTGCTCTTCCCATCCCAGAATCTCAGCCCAGAACCAAGCCTCAGTCTGAAAGAGCTAGGCTGATCAACCAGTCACACCTCAGTATGAATTAGTAGAAGCAGAAAAAGAGATTTGGGATGGGAATTGATGGGAAGCAGAGTCAAGGGAAAGTAAGCCAAGAAGTGCACTTGGTGGGATTCCCCAGCAGGGAACAGCCTTTCTGGGGAGGACCAGAGGGGACCATCTTTGGGGGAGCATTAGAAAGGGGACACCTTGGGCAGGACAAGCATGGGATGCTTAAGTGGGTCAGTGATTGGGGAACTTGGGGTGGGAGCTGGGGCCCACTGCTCAGGGTTATCTGGGGGTCACTCAGTGTCCAGGTGAGGGCATCAGGAGAGGGCAGGAGGCATGCAGGGGGAAAGGGCACAGCAAAGAGAAACTTCTGACCCTGGTGAGCGGACACCAGCTGG